TTATTACTATAAAATTATATGACATCGTTACCGATGTTACGTTTTACTATAGTTCTTGGAAGTTAATTACTCGTAATGTTGTATTTTATGGTAATAGTCGAGGAATATGGGAGAGAGTTTAAATATTCAAGTTTACGATGATCATAGAGAAAGTATTTTATCATACAAATGTTTTAAGATATTTAAATCTGCAATTATTATGGATAGCTGATCGAGAAAGATCATGGTGCATAAAAACTTATTATTATTATTTTTTATAACGTAAGGTGGCAAACGAGCAAGCGACCACCTGAATCCGCCAAAATGGCGAAGCGACCGCTGCCCATAGACATCTGCAATTGCAGATGCGTTGCCTACTCTTATCCGACAGAGGAGGAGACGCACATAAAAAGGATATTTCCCCTTCCTATGCATCTCCTCCACCGTCAAATCCACTTCCTCTTCCCATTCTCTCCTTATAAGAAAAGGGTGGTAAAGAGAAAGGGACTAAAATTAGGCCTCCGGCACCACACTCATCAGACGAAACACGGAATTTCTCTGATGCCTTACAGTAAACGGTGCTTTAAAATATTTTTTATTCAAAGTACCTAATTGGAAGATTTAAATTTTGAAAAGATTCGTAATTAAAATGTTGACGTAGTTAGTTTTAGGGTTGTTTAGTTAACTGCATGTAACGAGAGCAGTTTGATCGTGGGGTATTATGGGGGTGGGGGTATTAGAGCGTGCGTGTTTGACGTGTGTGTGTTCGGCGTGCGCAGCGGCGTCGCGTGCCCGCCGCGCGTGGCCGACGTGAGCGAGTACACGAGCTACTGCGCGCGCATTCGAGACGAAGAGATCTACCGCGACCTGTGCGCGCTCAAGCCGGCGCACACGCACGCGCCCCTCGTCCACGCCGCGCATGCTCATACGCTGCAGAACAACGCTTTTACTGTACGCCTGCATTACTGGTTTTTATTAAATTTTATTAAAAGACGTGTGTTGTCTTAAAAAAAATTGAATTTTTAAATATTGTTTAATTGTTGTACCAACTTATAACAGTTAACTGTTTAACAAATAGGTTATTTTTTAATGAAATGTTTTAAATCACCTTAAAAAAGATGCAGAATTCCCCCCCAACTGTCTTTCCTACGACTTTAGTATTTGGAAACTAAATTATGTATTACCACATAGAAATGTATCGCGAATCGTGTATTCTCACCGTTAATTGCAATAAAAAATGTATGGTTAACAATCAGTTATTTTGTGTACATTAAAAATGTATTATTAATACTTTAATATTTAATATACTAATTTTTAATAATAAATTTATTGTCTTCATAAAAAATGTTATGCAGACCTTATCAAAACTGACTTGTAGGCTATAAAAGAAAGCAAAACTTCTAAAAAAGAAAAACCTCTCATTTTTATTTCATTAGCTTCAAAGTACTGAATATAACTTTAAAATATAACTCTCCATTTTATGCAACTAACATAGACTTAAGCTTA